TCTTCCACCGAGGTCTGTGCACCAAGGGTGAGTGCCAGGAAGGGATGGGGATGGGACTGACACCTCCCTGCAAGATCCTGGGGACACCGGGGGGGCCAGATGGGCCCCTCTCTGCTCCATGACCAGCCCACATCCATGGTAGATTGCTCCGTGGCCCTATGGCCAGTGGGTTGGCAGGTCTTGGCCCAAAATGCTGATGCTGCTCAGAGTCCGTCGTTCCCCTGACCCTTTGGATGAGTGCTCCTACCCCTTCTGCACCTGAACACCTCCAGGGCAACCAGACCTCGGCAGCACCTGGGGGACCGAGCCCCTTGCACCCAGTGGGTGCTGCAGTTCTCCGCATCCCAGAAAGCTCCTGCTGGTGTGTCCCAAGCCAAGGAGCTGGGGGGTTCCTGAGCGCAGGCAGGACTGGGGGAGCTGCTGGGGGCTGCGATGCTGCGGGGCACAGGCAGGCTGTGACCGTGGGTCCGTGCCGTGGCCAGGCGAGCAGTGTCCCTTCCGACACCTCAGCGGAGCGAGGACGGTGGTGTGCAAGCACTGGCTGCGCGGGCTCTGCAAGAAGGGCGACAGGTGCGACTTTCGGCACGAGTACGACGTGACCAGGATGCCCGAGTGCTATTTCTACTCCAAGTTCGGTAGTTGTGGTATTGCTTCCCCAAGTTCGGCAGGTGTGGGCCCGGGCGGGGGCCCCCGGCGAGCCTCTCCCAGCCCAGCACCCACGTCCCTTGGGTCTGGCCTCGAGCAAGTGCCTGATGCCACCTCCTGTCTGTGGGAAGAAACACCACGGGCACCCACCCGGGGCCAAGCCTGGGTGCTCCTGGGGCACCTCGGTTCCTTCCATCCAGCCCATCCTTGAGTGATTTCCACTGCGTTTGGCTTGAGCGAGCGTTGTCCCACCCCTTGCTCCTGCAGGTGAGTGCAGCAACAAGGACTGTCCCTTCCTGCACGTGGATGCCACCACCAGCACCATGGGCTGTCCCTGGTATGACCGTGGCTTCTGCAGGCACGGTGAGCTGCCGGGATGGGTGCTGGGGTGAGCGGGGGCTGCCCACACTCCTGTGGCAGCACGTGTTCCCTAACCACTGGTGATGGGGGGTCTGGACCCTGCTGCTGGCCCAACCTCCTGCTACCTCTGAGGTGCTGGAGCCAGAGTGGGGTGAACCACAGCGGGTTGTCTGGGGACTGCCTGGGAGTGGGACCAGGCGCCCTGCGGGGATTTGGACTTGGGGCAGCAGAGACCCCATAGAGCCAAAGGGAAACGGGGCTGCTGGGGAAAGCTGGGCTCTCAAAATCCCTGCGGGGCAGGGGGTGATGTTGTGTCCCCATAAACAGGAACCTCTCCTCTGCGTGGCAGGTCCCCTGTGCAAGTACAAGCACACGCGGAGGGCGATGTGTGCCAACTACCTCGTCGGCTTCTGCCCAGAAGGGCCCAAGTGCAAATTCATGCAGTACGTACTGGGCAGGTTGGGGGGGAGCTTGGCATGCAGCTGGGGGACAGCCCCCTCTCCGAGGCTGCAGAGGTGGCCGTGACCTCCGCAGTGTCTGGGTCAAGGACAAGGGTGCTTTGGGTCCTCATCTGAGCTAACTGAACCCCTCTGGTCTCTCTCCCTGTCCAATCTGAGCTGGTGACAGTGGGGTTTGCAGTGGGTGGGCAGGGGACAGCCCCAGTCCCCCTGGGGATGCCTGTACCAGCTGCCTTGAGCCCTGAGGCCGTGGGAGCTGTGGGGGGATCTGGGGGTACCACTTGCTGTGTCCCAGGAATAACTGCCTGTCCTCTTTGTCCCTTTCCAGCCTCAAGGCCGGCCTGATGACAAGCAGCACGGATCCACCCAAGGTAATGCAGGGAAAGTCCTACGCCATTCCCCCTTGAGCCGAAGCCCTTTTGCTCTGTGCCTCTGCCCATCAGGGTGATGCACCAGCTGCACCTGCCCCAGCTCTTGTGGGACAGCAGCTGCCAACTGCCCCTCCTGCCCCGTGTCCCCCCAGGGAGCCGGCTGTCCTTGGGGGCCAGTACAGCTGCATCTGGCTGCTGGTGAGGAGAGCAGATGTGAGGATGTGCCACCCATGGAGCCCCCTCCACCAGCCACCGATGCTACCCAGCACCTGGCAGTGCAGCTGTGGGACACCAATGGCTGCCCCTGGGCCCATGGAGCCTGCTTGAATGAGGCACCCGCTTCAAGGTGAGTGGTTTTGGGACTGGGAGCAATGGTCTTGCCTTGGAGGGAGGGTAAAGTGCCATGGTGAGGGGCAGCATGTGGTATGGGGGCTCCCACAGCACTGTCCAAGCAGCTCCCTTGACTGGAGATGTCTGTCTTCCCCCTGGGCTGTGTTTCTTGGCCCTGGAGCCTGCCCCTCGCTCCCAGGCAGCTGGGGCGTGAACTGGCAGGGAAGGAGGCTGTAGTCGGGATTGAGAAATAATCTGACTGGAAATGAAGGGATTTCTGCGTTAATAAAACGCTTGGCAGGCAGTGGAATAGCCCTGGAGAGCAGCAAGGCCCTTGTGTTCGTCTGGGTCAGAGTTTTGTTGCAGTTGGGGGTCTCAGGATGCTGCTTGCAGGGGAGAGCTATGCTGCAACAAGGCACAGCTCCATTAGCCCAGTCGCTGGGAAACGATGTGAGAACAAACACTTGGTAGCGTGGCAGCGGGTTGATCCAGCACAAAACTGATGCCGGCCTCTCCGTGTGCCCCCAGCACGGACAGAACGGTCACCACACCAGTAAGCGTGAGAAGATTCGGTGGGCAATCCTGCAGGGGAGGTGACTCGAGTGCTCCTGCACAGACCGTGGAAGGACACGAGAAAGTGCAATGGAGCCAGCAAGACAGCTGCTAGGGCAGTTGCTGGACTAGAAAAGCTAGTTGGTTTTACTCGGCACTGGCTCTTACAGCTCTTTGCACAAACAGCACAGAAATCACAGCTTCCCTAATGAAACTAAACTGGGACGCCTCACAGCCAGCCCTGCTCCCTCCTGCGCAGCTGGCTGCACGGGGCCCGGGGCAGCAGGAGCGGTCGCTACGTGAGCCCAGGGTTGAAGGGCTGTCGGCCCAGCTTGAGCCGGGGTCCTGGGCAGATGAGGGTGTGCGTGGGCTAATGCCCTGCGAAGGGGGGCCAAGAAGCACCATGTTTGAGAACGCACAGTACCAAGCAGGAAAGGAAAATTCACAAAGGCTTTTATTGCTGGCGAGAGGGAGTTTTTGGTGAAACACCTTGGACACAGCACTACTGCACTGCTCTGAATAAAGAGTTCAGACTTATTTTTTTTTCCTTGGCTTTTTTTATTTTTTACCCTTCATGCCTGTAACATGACCAGCCCTTTTCCAGACATGTTTGGTGATGACAGGCTACAACTAGCACTCTCCTAACTGTCCTCATTTGTCTGATGCAGGCATCGGTTTGCCCTTTGGGCACAACAGCTAATCCAATGGATTTTCTTCCCCCAGAAACAGGGCGCTGCGGTCTGAGTGCTGCTGCTTTAATGCCTTCCCAAAGGTCCCTCCCTCGGAGCCGGGGCAGTCCCACCAGCACCGCGCTGATGGCGAAGGAGGGGCTGGGGGCCCTTTGTGGAAGGGCCCTGCAGGGACCACCCTTCTCCTGCCAGTTGGTGGTAAACCCCATCGTGCTCGCTGCGGGGAGGGGTAAGTAAAAGATGGGGTGGGCCGGGCACAACTCTGCTAACTTAAAGGGAGTGGTTATTCCAGCCGAAGCCCACCCTACCACAACCCATCACAAACCTTACTGCCAAATACTCGGACTACAACATTCACATCAAGGAGTTGCCCTGTGTCTGGTGTCCCGAAGGGAGAGATTTAGGCTTTTGCAGACTGCCTACAGACCTCTGAGGGGCAGCTCTAACGCTTTCTTCGTTCAGTACTAAATGCTGTCTGAACCACGGAGCAGTGACCGCAGGCTGCTACTGTCAGTGCCACCCCTCTGTCTACAGGAAGGTAGCTGAAAAGTAGCCCCCTCAACAATTAAAGAACCTGTCTCTGACAGTAAATGAGCCTCTGCTGATTTGAATCCCTGCTGGGACACTGGTTCTGAGCACTTCTGCTGACTCACAGTCAAATATTCGTGACTGTTCCTTGGGTGCTGTTCCAGCTTCTTCAGTGGTATTTACGCCAGCGATGACACTCTAGAAAAACAGAGAGGGGGGGGAAAAAAACAGAACAGTGCTTGGGGACCAGTGATAAACAGGAGACTTGGCTGCAGCCTTCTCTGTTTATGTGCTGTACAGCTGCACACAAGAGCAAGTCCTGCTGGGGAAACTACACAAACACCAGTAAATCCCTTGTCAGTTATGAGTAAATCCAGGGAATGGGTGCTTAGTGTTGGAACATCTCCCTCTGCTTTGCGCAGGGTTTAAAAGTGCTCCTGGCAGTTCCTGGTGCTCTCCAGGGAGAAGCTATGAATCAGCAACTGTTATTGCCACCTTTATTAGCTAAATTCCTCTGCCAGGTCAGAATACTGTTCTCAGAGCTCTGATACTAGTCTTAACTGTGAAGTATTTATATTATTTCAGAGCTTGAATTAACATGAATGGCAAATAGACTTTCCAACTGCTGCAAAATTGAGAATTCCTGAAATAAGACAGATACCAAGAAGGAAATCTTACTGATGTGCTGATAGTTCCAGCCATAGCTGAGGAGGCAGTATCCAGCCAGCAGCATGGAGATCCCAGCTGGTCCACCCCTCTTCACGTTGATGTATTTGTCGTAATAGCTGCTCCAGGCTGTTGGAATGGAAACGCAAAGGTCAAATCATGCACAGGTCTTAGGAGTTCACTGGTTTCCATGGAACTTTCCAAAGCCAAATGGTTGGGTCTATTTCTTTACTTCTTTATAAAGATCCAGACTGGCCTCTTGGGCCAGGCTGCGGCAAGTAAATCGGGTAAGTGGGACAATTCTGCCCCAGGAGGCAGGAATTTAGCCTCACCTTTCTGTACTCCTCCAAGCAGCCCCTGAGGAGACAAGTCACGTGTGGCCAGCCAAACGGGCAGCTCCCCCAGCCTTACATCCATCAGACGCCTTTCTGAGAGGGGACCTGTGTGGTGAAAAGTCAGAGCGGTCAAAGGTAGGAAAGTGAAGGCAACACGCGTGGTGCTCACGGTCCCTGCGCCGGGTGGTGAGCACGGAGCTGGTATTTGACATGGCTGCAAGTGACTTGGGCTTGGGACTGACTGCTGGGAAAGGAAGAGCGAATCGCCTCTCCCACAAAGCGAGTTGGCTCCACCAGCCCAAACATGCAAGAGCCTGACTCAAATCTAAATAAAAAAGTAAACCATTGGCTTTGCAGGCTGGAGGGTTGGACAGTTAACCTCCTTGGATCCTTCCAGGACAAGCCCAGCAGCTTAGCATTTCCTACCCCTCCTCTCCCATTGACATCAGACAGTTTAGCCTGACAGTGCAGTAAACCTCGTCAGCGGAGACTTTTGTTTCTCACGTTACCTTGCTGTCCCTCTGAGAAATTGCCCCTTGGTGTCTTTGTTATGATCCCCACATCTTCTTGGAAAGGCTTCCCTGGAAAAATATTCAGCCCATCATAATTAGGATATAACTCTGGAAACCACTCCAAGCCCATCGCACCTGCCTGTGTGCTCCTGCCAGAGGCCTGTGATAGACAGATGGGTTGGCTTTTGGAGGTGTGAAGCAAGAACTGGTGCAGCGCCAGCTCTGTGTCCCTCCTCGCATTCAGGATGGGCTCAGAAACTACAGCCATCTGCTTCTTGCCCTCTTGAAGCTTTTGTATACTGCTTAGGTAATTTTTGGATGTCCCTTCATTGTGACCTCTGAAAGGCTCTATCACTGACAGATGGAGGTTCTTGCTATGCAAAGCAGAAAGAGGGGCTTTATATTCCACACCAACTTCTAGGTACATCTGCTTCTCTTCTGTCACAGTTTTGTCTGTTCCCTCCTGCTGAGCGAGGTCATCGGGGCTACTTCTGCAGTCAGCTTCAGGGGGCTCTTGAAGTATGTGTATTTTTGTAGCTTTTAAACTACTGCCTTTTTCTCCTTTTGAGCTTGCAGACGCACTCTCTGCAGCTTCACGGCTCTGAGTCTCTGTGTTTGCGGTTTCTGGAACAGTTATTCCCTCCTGCGGGACGGGTTGGGCTGCATCAGCGTGGTCAGCAGCGTTGC